CAGAAACCTCTCCTTGCTCCTGCCTGCCGCCGTCAAACATTTGATTGCTTCTGATTTAGCCACCCCAGGCTCCTCTCCCCGAAAATTGGCCCAGGACCGAATGCCAGTTGTAATCTCCTGAATTAAGAGCTTCGCATGGTCAGGATGTGCCAACTTCGGAATGTTGTTTGCATTGCATAGCAAAGGATGTATACCCTCCAACTCCTGCAGTCGGACTTGCACGTGGTCTCCTACTCTTGGGTAGAGTAAGCCTGCACATGTGCAGGTCAGCACATCAGTTCTGGCAAAAGCTCGCTGATTGTGCAACAAGTCCGCCACCGATGGGTTCTTTACCCAAACGATCCGAACAGTACTCGGTGCGACGTCTTTCAAACAGGGTGGAATCTCCATTGCTTCGATCTTGTCATTGACTAACTTCCTGACCTCGACTAGTCTAACATGATCGTCAAACTTCAGCCTGACTACCATCTTGGCGTTAATACACCATCCATGCGTCTCCTTGATCGCATGGGCTACAATAAGTCTCAGGTAAGCCGTAGTTGATGCTTGCTGGAAATCTGCAGCTGCTTTCATCAGGCAAGTCAGGACTTCCAAGTTGCACCACCTGAGTGCTTCCATTCGGCGTGGATTGCGAAACAGGCTACTAAGAAAACGCTTATCCGGGCCTGAGTTCGGTCTCCACCTCCGCATGTGAGTAATCTCCAGCTCATCACCCTTTTCACAGTGCGCCTTACACGCGAACAGCTTCTTCCTCTGACCTTGCACCTCCACCTCCTAGTTTCCAAAGGTAGACTTGATAGGTTTCCACCCTCCACACCAACTGTTGCCTGATTGCGTACTCAATTTGAAGCGCACACAGTTCTGTTCTTCTTGGGCTGCCAATAGTTGGAAAAGGTCCAAGCTCCAGTCATCGCTGGCTGCTAACTTCACTTTAAGTGGGTGCACGGTCAGTGGTTGTGGTGTTGGTGGCACCTTAGCCTTCCTGCTCCGTTCTCGTTTTCATACGTCGGTTCTTACCACGACCTTTGGCTACTTTACCAGTAGTGTTCAGGGCCAGGCTCCACTGACGGATGTACAATTGCTCAAGCATGGGGAGCTCTTCCGCTCGACAGACATCGATAGGCATTAGGACATAGGATTGTGATCCAAACACATGCCAGCACCTGTAAAGGTGTGTTTGTTTCTTCCCCTTCTCACATGCTGCCACGTGTTCCCTCCAACGTATGTTACCGCTTCTTCGGGTTTGTCCAACATACTGCGCACGGCAAGTAGGAGATGTCAAGATGTACACTCCCCCTATCTCTCCGTAAAAAGCGCTGATGTCGTAGCACCGGTACAAACTTACCCATGAGTCGACGCACTTTCTAAGCCAACGGATTTGGTCATACAATGTGAAAAGGATGATAGTAAGACGATACATGATCTCTACTGCTCTATCGTGCACTCCACCCCTACGGACTTCAACTAAGGCTCGACACAATCTCCAATATTGCGGTATCATTCACTGTTCATCATCAGCTTCTCCTTCATCAGGTTCCCCTTGCTCGTCCTCATCGACCTCGGCGAGATCCTGCGTGGCTACAGTACTCTCCTCCTCCTCGTTTTCAGTCCCATAAGCAATTTGCGTTCGCTTCTCGACAATAGCTAAGATGGTCTCCATCTTCTTGCCTTCATATGGCACATCTTCCGTACGGCATATCAACTTCAGTTCATCGGCGTTCATGGCGCCTAATTCGCGAAGGTTGTCTTTCACGTAGCATAGCTTCCCTAGCGTTCCTGTCGTTGCTGGAATTTTTTTTCTCAGCATCCTTGCGCCTTGGGTAGGAGTTTTTGATGGAGGTGATCGCTTCATCGGCTGGTGGTGGCAGCTCAAGTGCAGGCGCTTCGGATTCAGGATGCCGCGTTTGGAAGGTCCTTGGCTGGCGTCACCATAGGGGGGCTGTCCCCCACTTCCTTTTCCACACTCCTTTTTCTCCTCTTTGATACTTGAGCGCTCAATTTTCTCCCTGAGTGCCTCTACATCGATGTCTTCTGAACCTTCAGCTGATTCATCCGAGACACAGTGCTTGGCTGTTGCCTTACCTTCGTCTACAGCCACATTTGTGTGAGTTGTTCCTGGATTTCTTCGCACATCCCGCTCACATGCATGCAGCTCCCATCCTCATGTCCTTCCGCATGGCTTCGCGGTCTTCGGTCTCCTTGTGTTTCTTTTCTTCCTTCTTCTTCGCACGTCTTTCCCTCTCCAAACGCTCCTCTTCCTCCTTCAGTTCGTGCTCGATCTTCTACTGTTTTTTCATTTCCTTTTCTTTCTTCGCCATTTCTTTCTCCTCCTTCCGTGCCTTTTCAGTATCGATGTAGCTCTTCATGTTGGCTAACGCGGTAGTGAGCTCCTCCAGATGCTTTTGTAAGGATGGTTCCTTAGATGCAGATCTTCGTTCACCGACTCTCATATGGTGTCTTGGTGATGCCGATCGATCGCGCTGTCCTCTGTGTCGGTTGCTGCATTCTCCTATGAGACGCGGGCACTGGTTCTTATAATGGCCAGGTTCCCCGCACTCGTAACAAATCTGTATGAAGCGACGTGGAGGTTCCCGATAGGGGTTGACCCGATCACCGGGTTGTCATCCTTCGTCATTGTGTTGGTCGCGGCGCTCGTCTCTACCTCGTTCACAGCCTGCATCAGCTCTGTTGTCCCTCCCACTGTTGTAGCTTCGTCCACGATCAAAATCCCGATTTTAGTCCCGGTGGCTGAATCCGGACATAGCGGAAGGAAAAACAGTTAAGAGCCTCACTACTAGCAGTAATATGTCGTGCCTAGGGTTACTTAAACTAGTCAAATCCTGCAAAGTAGGATATTAACTGCGATCTTCAACTCGTGACCTCGTATGTGGTAACCTCTCTAAGGTATTTGAATACAAGGGGCTGTCTAGACCTTCAACTCGTAGCTTGTTGCATACTGTAACGTGCAGACCAGAACAAGAACGGACCTCTCAATACAAAATACAAGATAACACAGCGGAAGACTTAGATACGAACGATCCGAACAATCAATATTGCAATGCAGCCCTGAACACACGTCATCATCATCGTTATCTGGTGTGAAGGGGGTTTGGCGCTTCACACAAGAAGATTGCGCCAGCCCCAACCATACACTGACGAAGAAGGAGGGGTTAGACGAAAGAGGAGGGGAAAGATGGGAATGTCGTCAACACCAAGTCTCGGTACAGGCCCAAATAGTCTCTCGTCGAAATGTCTGAATCCCAATGTCCAGTCTGGATCCAATGTCATCAAGTCTCAAGTCACAACTCTTTCTCTCTCTGTCGTATTCTGAGAAATCAGGTGGCGAGAGGGTGAGAAGAGATGGTGGACTTAGAAGAGGAAGAAGAAGAACTCTCTCTCTCTCTGTGTCCCGTACTAACCTGTGAAGTTGGCGCCTTGATGCAGGTACCACGAAGATGGAGCTGGAGCGATGGCGCCACAGGTAAGTACCACTGGCCTCCGCCAGTATCTCTCCCACTCTACGATCTACCACCTACCAGCGCCCAGCGCTGAAGACTACTCTATGGCTATGGCGCCCAGCGCCGAAGACTACAACTAGCGCTAACTCCTGCCTAGCGCTGAAGACTACTGCAGCGCTCCTCYTGAGTGTTGCGTCCGAATCCTGAAGACTACTCGTGCCTACTGAAAACTACCTGACCGTGAAGTGCCTGGGAAGCCCTATGAACTACCCGGGTGCCTCCTGACTGCAGGCGAGCAGTCCAGGAGGCTCCTCTTGCCAATGCCGATCGGAGGCAGGGGCTGCCGCTGCAGCTCCTGCTCAAGCTCGTGAGGAACAGGCTATTTCTGGCCTGTTCCACATCCATCTTTACGTGCCTGAGTCTTAGGGGCGGTTGAAACAACGAGGGCCTGAAAATGGCCCTCCGTTTCAGGCTGGAAGACCCAGAAATAGGYTGAAAYGGAGTAGGGCCTGCAGRCCCTCGTTTTTCAGCTTTTAGGCTGAAACGACCGGGGCCTGTAAGCCCCAAGTTTTAGGCTTTTAGGCTGAATGTCCCCGACGGGCCCTGCAGGGCCCGTGTAGCTACACAGTATGCCACACCCCCCCCTCCTCGAAGAACCGAGCTTACCTGCGAGAGCGAAGCTGTCTGTCTGAGGGAGGGACCACAGTCCGGGTGGGAGGGGCTGGTCGTGAAGCTTCCTGAGCTAACCTCCGCTTTTCATAATGCGCGTAGATCAGCTGTGCGGATGCTTTCAAATCTGCACCTGAAATCCACCGAGTGTCGTCGCGATCGCATGCTTTGAATGTGACTTTGTACTGTCTCGGCTTGTTGCCGTACTTGCGATCGGTGATGACGCGGTCAACTTCCTGATGACCATCCATCGAAGGAGGGTCCTACGATCGTCGGCCCGGAAAGTCGTCGCTCTTGGCTGGCGTGTATGTTGCCAGCTTCGAGGCGTGGAAGACCGGATGGACCGTCAGATGCTCTGGAATGTTGATCACAAATGAAGGGCCATCGGGCTCAAACCGGTTGGTTGCGTTCTAAATGAATATGTCGTGAAGACTACTCGTGCCTACTGAAAACGACGGTCGCGTGGGACACATAGTAAGTCCTTGCCTCTCGAGTGGAGGAGCAAGTACCCGTCGGCAATGCGGTAATGGCTGGCTGGCGGGTGATCCGAAGATAGTTGTGCATATAGCGTGGCAAAGTCCGGATCAGACTGGTATGCCCGGATGAAGTGTCGCTGAAGCTCCTCGTCGAATGCGAAGGCATGATGTGTCATAGCGCAAAGGTCAGGTCCTCGCGAGAGTGCATCTGCTGCACGATTTGAGAGGCCGGGAAGATGTTTCAGCGTGAAGTCAAACTGGTTGATGAAGTACATCCATCGTCCGATCGTGCTGCTCACCGTATCCTGCGTCTTGTAGTAGGTCAATGGATCGTTGTCCGTAACCCATGTGAACCTACGACACCCAAGGAGGAAGTGCCGCCATCGCTTGAGAGCCATGACGAATGCGAGCAACTCCTTCTTCCTTGCATCATCAAGTGAGTTGATGGGAGGCACTTTGTGGATGAAATACTCCACAGGGTGTCAGTCGTCGCCGTCGTGCTGTTCCAAGACTGCCCCAATGCCATAGCCGGAAGCGTCCGTAGTCACTCTCGTCGGCAAGGTGGGGTCATAGATGCTAAGGACGGGTGCCATGAGCATAGCCGTCTTAAGTGCTTGGAATGACCGGTGTGCGTCGTCATCGAATACGAATGGCACCTTTGGCGACTGTAACCTCGTCATAGGTGCAACAATCCTTGAGTATCCGGTGATGAATCGCTGATAGTAGCCCGCCAATCCCATGAATGAACGAACGTCCGTGGTGTTGGTGGGCTCGGGCCATACTTGTAGGGCCTCGATCTTGTCCACGAGCGGACGGATGCCTTGCGGCGTCACATAATGGCCCAAGTACTCCAGCTCCTGCCGCGCGAATTCGCACTTGTCGTGGTTGGCTTTGTACTTGGCTTGTCGTAGTCGCTCCAAAATGGTGCGCAGGTGTTYCACATGCTCCTCCAAACTCCGGCTGTACACCAGGATGTCGTCGAGGTAGATAAGTACAAACCGATCAGCATGTGTCGGAACTCCGTTGTCATAGCCGCTTGGAAAGTGGCTGGGGCATTCMTAAGGCCAAACGKCATAATCARCCATTCGAAATGCCCATACCGTGTCTTGAACGTGGTCTTGTAGCGATCCTCCTTGCGAATCTCGAGTTGGTGGTATCCCGACTTGAGATCGAGCTTGGAGAAGAACTTGGCACCGCCCAGTCGCTCGAGAAGATCGTTGATGCGTGGGAGAGGGCCGGCGTTTCTGATCGTCTGCGCGTTGAGCTTGCGATAATCGATGCACAACCGCAAATCCTTGTTCTTCTTCCGGGCGAAGAGAACAGGAACACCGTATGGCCATGAGCTAGGCCGAATCCAGCCTTTCTCCAGAAGGTCGTCGAGTTGTGCCCGAAGCACACTTAACTCTTCCTCGCTCATTCAGTAGATGCAACCGCGCGGAGGTACGGCTCTGTCCTCGAGGATGATCTCGTGGCGGATGGGCCGATCCGGTACTACTCCGTGCGGGCCTTCGAACACGTCGCTGTAGGGCGTCGAGAAGCTCGGTGATGCGTGGATCCGAAGGTGAGTCCGTCGATGAAGCATCATGGGGCGGGAGGACGTGGAGAAAATATACCCCCATCTCCTCGATGTCGTCTCTGATGATGGAAGCTCGCATGCTTGCGGCGGATACCACGTGGCAGCTGATCGAAGGGTGAGGAAGAGGCACCGTGCATGGAACTAATACTCCATTCCGATCACGAATGTGAACGGTGYGGATGAAGTAGTTCACCGRGTGATCCTTGCTCCGTAGCTATGACATGCCCAAGATCATGTCGAATTTGGTGTCCAGAATGTCAAAGGACACCGCCTCACTTGCGTGAGGGGCAAAGTACACTGGGACGCTGTCAATGCACCGGTCGATTGACTTGTGCGTGTGACCATCCGCCAATGTGACTTGCGTAGGCTGGGGCTTCGTCCGGACGCGTGGGCCAAGGCCGGCGCGCACCATGAAGTCTTGGCTGATGTAGTTGCGAGATGCTCCGCAATCGATCAAAGCGCTGCAGGTCGCTTCTCCGATCTGAATGCGTATGTATAGCAATGGTGCGTCGATGTCGTCGTWCCGTTGTGTCTTGAACTCGCGGTCGATCTTCGCAATGTAGACGTGAAGGTCGACAACCTCTACTTCGACGTCCATCAACGGAGTCGGTACTGCAGTGTGCAAGTAATCTCGCAGTTGTGCCATGAGCACATTACAATGCGGTTTCGGCAATCGTCCGGTCGGGGGAACGGGCATCCACTGGAAGTCCGTGAACGTCTGTGGGTCGAGCACCTCAAGTCTTGACCACGACGATGAATCCCCGACGATAGATGGCGGCGAAGTTGTCGAAGCGGTTGCCGATGGTGATGAAACCGTGCATGCGGTAGATTGTTGCACGTGGGGCAGTTGGTCCAGCGGTGGAACCAAGTGGACAGCATAGTCCTCGTAAGTGTAACGAGAACCTGCGACATTCGCATCCTCCCCAGATGTGCAGGAGGCCGCTAGCAAGGCGGCCGAATCTGGCGGAGTGGAAGGTGGAGTCGCCTCACCTTCCGTGGAACTCAGTTTCCCGAGTTGAGGCGAGGTCGCACATCCTCCTTGCCCTGATCCTGGCACAGGGAGGTCTTGTGCTTGGTGCTGTTGCACCAATAGCAGCTGCCGTAGCGGCCGCGAACCTTGTACTCCGTCTCGGTCAAGCCGAACTTGACCCATGGAACTTGTACTGGCTGTCCATTTCCGACCTGCGATTCGGATTTCGCCTTCCCATTATTGCGGGACTTGTTGTTGCTTCGCCACTGGACATCAGCCACCTGATATCCGTCACTTGATGCTGGACTGGCTGTTGGGTTATCTCCACTGTCCGACTGGACTGCAGCGAAGTGCTGCTGTCGCGGACCAGTTCGTACCTTCTCCACATAAGTCGGCTGCCATGTTGACTTCTCGTTTGCAGCWGACCTGTTGGTCTTGATGATCTCTCTGGCCTTGTCGACAATCTCGGTGAAAGTGGAGTATTGCTCGCGATCAGCAAGAGCCTGGCTCAATGCAGCGCAGGATCTGTTGTAGAACTCACGTCTGAGATGTATGAATGGCAAGTCCAGATTGGGCACTGCCGCAATCTTCTGCCACTCTGTGAGCCAGTCCCGTGTTGCAGTGTTGCCCTGTGACATGGTGAACAAACGGTTGATGGCGAGTGTCGGTGCGTCGTCGGCGATGAACCGCTTCTTCCACAGCCGTGTCAGTTCCTCCCATGTGATCTTGTCCTTCAAGTCCGATACGTCGACGCCGTGGGAGGTTGCCAGGTGGCTCAACCAGGTCTGGCATCCGCCCTTTGAGTTCAGGAACAGGGCTCCGATGTACACATGCTTGGCTACGGGCAGAATCCTGAGTTGCGTCGTGAATGCTTCCCACCAGAGGACCGGATCCTGCTGCGTGTAGTCGTCGAACTTGTCCAGTTGGAAAGTTGGCATCTTGTACATCTTCGGATTGTCATCCGCGTTCGTCGACTGCAGCTGTTGGACCTAGGTCTTCAAGGTATGCAGCTGACTGCTGATGGTGGTCGGCGCAGCGAAGGTGCTGATGTCGTCGAGCATTTCCACTACGTGGTCAACGCATTCCTCCAGTTGGCGGCTAGAGGATGCACTGCTAGAAGCCCCAACAGCTGGTCCTGGTACAGCTTGTTCCAGGTCCAGCAATTGGGCATTGAGTGCCCGAGTTGCATCCGGCTCTGCACTGTATGGCGGAGCTTTGCCAACTCCTGATGCTATTGCGTCAGGTTCTGGTACTGTTTCTCCAACTCCGACCGTTGGTAGTTGCAAGCATACAACAACCGTGTCACGAATTTGGAGAGAAACTCCTTATGCTGCTCTTCCGGTGTTCCGTCGTCGCCGTTTGGTTCAAAGTGCCAGAACTTGAGTTTTTCGATGCTTGTGGCTTCATGCCGCTGCAACAGATCCTGGGCTTCCTTGCGGCGAGCCTGGGCATCTGCGTCTGCTTCGGCCCGTAGCCGCAGCTTCTCTGCTGTTGCCGCTTCTTCAGCCTGTAGCTGGGCAGCCTGACTGCCAGCTGGCGTTGTTCCTCAGCCTCGATTGCAACAAGTTGAGCCTGGAAGCGCTTTTTGTAGYCGGCAATGGGCTCATTGGCCAGTTGGCCCGGCAGGCCCGTCATGTTGCTGACGTGGCACTGTGTCTGATGTGGCACTGCTTACGTGGCACTGTGTCTGACATGGCACTGCTGACGTGGCACTGCTTACGTGGCACTGTGTCTGACGTGGCACTGCTTACGTGGCACTGTGTCAATCCGGAAATGCATGCAAAGGGTGGGTGGGAGGGAAAAACGCAGGTAGGAAACCAACCCAACAATACTTTCCTCCGGCCCTAATCAACAGATAAAAAATAAAATAAAAAAA